TTGCGTTCCATAATCGTGTAGACCGTTTTTATGGCATGGACTTTCCACCATTCCACCTTCTTTGTGAAAGTTAAAGTTTCAATTTAACACACAGAGAGAGACTTTTTGTGGCAAGCGGGATATACGTATTTTATATTAATAGGCCAGGAAATATAGAGTTGGACGCGACTTTTTGTTTCGGCAAGCTGAATTTACCACTATAAATGTTAAATATTATGTACAATAACAAATTAGTTTCCACAGTCACAAAAATGGGGAGCAAGATTGTTTACAGGCTGGTTAATTGTATAATTTTTATGTAAATTCACGTTTTTCGATTATAACTTTTTTCCGTTCATTTCCACGAGAAAACAGTAAAGTACTTTTTTTCGTCTTCAAAAGACCTACAAAACTGGCCTTCGAGCGTCAAAAAATATTGATTTGATCAAAAGTTATTTATTTAACAGAAGTTTATTTATGACTGGAATTAAACATTTATAAACTGCGTTATTATTACCAGAACGTTTTGGCATCGCATCCTCTCATTCCTTATCACTGTCTAATAACTCACACGAAATCTGGAATCGATAAGTTGAATAGTTTACAAGTTATGTCCTTATAAACAAATTCACTAATTATTAGTCTGGACGATCCCGAGGATCTTCCACAATCACACTGATTCTTTTCATGGTAGATTTCATAATAATACATTGAAATCAATTTTTTTTTATTTCAAATTTGCAACCTGGAAAGTTTTTTTTATTTTTTAGCCTTAGTTGCAAAGTGAAATATACGACGCACGCACTTAATGTAGTTATACATTATTATATATTCGGAAAGCTTATGAAAAGAGCTTTCAGTTAAAAAAAAATCGTCAAGAATCGTTGAAAAACAACGGAGTTACAGACTGTCAAATATAGTATTTTCAAGCGAATTTCGCTTTTTTAACGGCAGGACTATGAATATTATCATAATTTTTTTCGAACTCGCTGTCGTTCGCTTCCCCCACCCTTCCGCCGCGCCACGGCTCGCCGAAAAATCAAGCGACCCACTGATTTTTGACAATATTTCTTATGCACTTAACATACTTCCACAATCCACAAATAAAATATTTTTATCTGGGAAAGTACTCGGGTTGCTGGTTATGACAGTATTTTTTTGCCGCTACTAACCTAATTTGTTTAACAATAGGCCGTCAACTTTGCCAGTTTTGTAGGTATTTTGAAGAGGAAAAAAAAAGAACTTTACTGTTTTCTCGTGGAAATGAACGGAAAAAAGTTATAAGCGAAAAACGTTAATTTACGTAAAAATTATACAATTAACCACCCTGTAAACAATCTTCCCCCCATTTATGAGTGTAGAAACTAATATGTTATTGTACATAATATTCAGCATCTATAGTGATAAATTCAGCTTGCTGAAACAAAAAGTCGCGAAATGGTAATTTCCCAGCACTTTTTCGTGGCCTATAAAGTACGTAAAAGTACTTGGGTCGTTCTAGAGAATTAATTATAATAAAACCCATATTTGGGATGTTTTTTAAATAGACTAGTACTAATCTAATGTGGAATTAGATACATTTTGCATGCCTAAATTTTTGGTATCAAAGAACGTTTAGTTTCTGACGAGAAATCTGCTAATAGTTAACTACGGTTTGACAGATATTAAGCTACCTGGTTTGGATGAGTTTGTCAAACCAGCAAAACCGCACCTACTTGCTGCTAATGTCTCTCTCTCTCTGGTTACTTTAGGTCTCACGTTTCACAATAACCATTTAATTTAAACATAAAATTGACGTAATTTGTGATTATCGCCGATAGAAACACCTAAACCAAAATTAAAACCTATTGTCAGAAAAGAAATTGACTATTCCGCATCATAGTATTGCATTGTTTCCCCGTATTTTCACTTAAAATGGTGTAAAATATTTTCATTCTGTTCTTGTATCCTAAAATTCAACGCAAATGAACTATATATAAAAAAAATTGTTAAATATTTTTTTGTGCATTTTCTTCTTACATTTTAGGTAAATTTTTAAATATTTCAGACTAGACATATATTATATGCATTATATTATTTATAATAATAGTAATAATTCCTATACCGCTTCAGTTTGATATTTGCGGCCTCGTATCTCTTTTATTTTAACAAACAAACCCTATATATTTTTAAATCGTCGCTCAAACTCTATCAAATTACATTATTAGATCGTCTCCATGGTAACATTTATGTCAAAATTACTATATTTTTTATCAATTCTGGAAGATATTTTTTTTCTGTGTTCAGCTATGTAAGGAAGTCTATAGTTTCATTAGAAATATTGCTAGAAAAACAGCAAAAAAGATGAACCCTACTTTCAGTAGCTTTATTTTGAAAATTGATAGCCAGCTGCGGAAACAATTGAATTTTGACGTTTCTAAATAACGGTTTGTCAAAATAATTGACATTTTGTACCTACCTATTCTATCTATAAATAATTACAACATGAATCTTAACCAAGTACAACAGTAACCAAAGAAAAAGTAGATATGATTTTAATTTATGGAGAGGGCGGAAAGAACTTTAAAGCTGCCAGGTATTTATAAGTACCTACCAACATCGTTTTCCGCTGAGATAACTTTCATCAGATAAAATTTTCGAAAAGTTAGCCAGGAATTTGGCGGCAGATGGAAGTTTTCAAAAGAAAAGAAGAGTTTTTAAACCCATAAGGGCAAGAGATGTAGAACATATTCGATAAAGATGTTAAATGGCCTGCTAGATCTCCGGATTTCACTCCAATAGATTTCTTTGTTTGGCCTTACCAAAATGATATTGACGACCTTAAAAACAGAATAAGAATAGAATGTCGGAAATTAAATGAAGAAACACTAGAATGTGTTTGTAGAGAAGGAGTGATAAACGGAGCTATTCTGTGTTTGGAAGCCAATGGAGGTCATTTTGAACATTTGAAATAAGTATCGTTTCAAATTATTATATTATTGTCGTATTAAAAATAAAATATGTTACTTTAAAAAACATAATAACTTGTTTCCGCAGCTGGCCTATCAATTTTCAGAATAAAGCTACTAAAAGTAGGGTTCATGTTTTGCTGTTTTTCTAGCAATATTTCTAATGAAACTATAGATTTTCTTACATAGCTGTACGCAGAAAAAAAAATATCTTCCAGAATTGATAAAAACATATAGATATATTGAACCAAAACAGTTGACTATAGCAATTTTGACATGGAGACAATCTAATAATGTCATTTGATAGAGTTTGAGCGGTGATTTAAAAGTATATAAGGTTTATTATAGCTATTTGTTAAAATAAAAAAGATACAGGGCCGCGAATACCAAACTGAATCACCCGGTATATGATTTACAGGAACTAGGACATTGTATTCACAAATACGAAAAATATTTGCAGGCAATAGAAAACTACTTACGCTACGCCCTACGTCCAAATTTTCAGAACCAACTTGACTACGTTTTTATTTGAACGCTCGTTATAAAAATTATCTGGAATTATATCCGGCATCCCTGTAAAATATTTTCAGTTATACAGGGTGCTCCGTCTCTTCTGGAGACATAACTTCGTTATTTTAATAATAGAACACCCTGTACATAAGTGCTTCGGATGCCTCGCTTAATTTTAGGTTGACTGTTGACGGTACATGGCCTAGAACCCGCCGTTTCCGAAATATTCTACAGTTTTTGGGAAAAAAATTACGATTTCAGCTCTGTGAATAAATCTAAGTAGCATCTAAACTAAAAGTTCGTTTCAGTACAAATTTCTCTATCTTTTACGTTTTTGGAAAAAAAGTTATTCGGCAGGATCGGACATATTAAGAGCTACATTTGACATCTTAGAAGACGAATAACTTTTTTTTTAATGGAATTACCAAAATTAATTGCTGTTGTTGAATAGCAAATTAAATGTCCTTTCGATTGATATAAGGCTTGCCATGTTTATCTCAAACAGTTTTTGAGAAAAAATCGGTTTCATCTAAAATTCCAAAAAAAAGTACCTAGTTATCAACATTGTCAAGTAGCCTTTGCAATTATTTTTTTTTCAAAAATGTAAAATATAGAGAAATTTGTGCTGAAACGAACTGTCTAAACCGCATGTTCCCAACTTTTTTAGTTTAGATGCTACCGAGATTAGTCGGAGAGCTGAATCTGTCATTATTTTGTTTTAAACAAATGACATGAGCCACCTATGACTACATCTTTTAATAACATTTGACAAAATACGGTTCGTCTCTGCCCCTTATAAGGTTTACTAGTTATACGATTTACCATTTTACAATGTTTTTTTCATATAAATAGTAGATAGTAAATACTTCCATATTGTAATTCCTCCAAGTCAGCAGCCACCTCTATTTCGTTACATGCCGCAAGATTACAGTCGTCGTTAAATGGCGGCAGTAATCGAAATGCGTTGACAGCATTCGACACTATTGTCGCCACTGTACAGCTTACTTACACCACTGAATTATAGAACATAATTCAATGGTTACACTTTACGTTGTCGTTCTGCTCATTACAAGGCCATTTTACATTTGATTAGCTCCACCTATCGGCAAACGACTAAACCAATTAACATTTTTATCGACGTAGATTTCTATAATTCCTTCAATTACAGAAAAAATGGACCATGCTCTCAAATTTTAAAAATAAAACAGAAGGAAAAGGTTTCTAAAAAGGTGGAAAACTAATTTCTAGTTTATAAATTTCATAAACATAAATTATCAAACTTGGTTTGTACTTTGACCAGTGGCGTAGAGAAGGGGGTAATTATTATAGAATTATGGAAGTTTTATCAAATTTAACCAGTTTAATGCTCGACGACTCTTCAGTTCCACATTTTAATAAAATTACGTTTTATGGATTATAAACCGGCTAGGGTATATCATTTATATGCCATTTTATCAGTTTTGATTAAAATAATGTTTATATTCAATAGAATTTCAATAAAATTGAACAAACTTCAGTATCGTAAATAAAAGAGGATATTGCGGAGGTATGAAATAAACAGTGTTAACGTTAACAAAATATGTTGTATTGTTCAAAAAAAGACAAAAAAAAAATCATATCAGCTCTGATTCATACTACATGCTCCTATATCTTTTATTTCTTGAAAAATCTACAACAGTATATTCAAAGAGAGGGCATTTTAGGCCTGAATTTTGCAACAGAACAACCTAATACTAACGGAGGTCCCCAAAAACACCTGACGATTAACTGAAAGGGGCGATTGATGCTGAATACTGATTTCCTGTCAGGGTCGATAAGAATATGTGGTTATCACAGCTTCGCACAATTAATTACTTTTTTACACTGTTGAATAGCAGTAATGTTGTTTTATTTAAATATATATGTTAAAAAAGCAGTTATAGGTTTAAAAATTAATATTATTCCATTTTTACTTTTCAAATTTCTTGCAGAGATATCCCGCTCCTGATCTTGTTCTCACTTTTAAGCTGCCCAATTTGCCATCCTCTTGCTTCGCTTCATATTAGTAGACTTCGTGTTAGTTATTTAATCGTCAGGTATCTTTGGGGCCCCAACGCAAACCCAAGCAGGTGACGCCACGTAACAAACTCAGAACGCAAAGCAGACAAAAAAAAACGGAAATTGATAAACAGAAATGTAATGGAATGTACAAATTATTTATTTTCAACATAATTTTGCTGTTCCCTTCGTACAACAGAACCATTCTACATATTATATAATAATACTCTACAACGATAGGCGACGTATCCGCCCGCCACGGACCGGAGCCTTCCGGGGGGTGCCGCGGGCGGAGACGCCGCCCCAAGCCTTAACGTGCTGCATTTTACAAGACATGATGATATTTATTATGACTAAAATAAAAAGAGGGAATATTATAACATTCTTACGGGCTAGAGGCAAGAAACACAATTGCGGTCGGTCTGATCGTAGCTCGGCGCCGCAGTTGTGTTCCCCGTTGAAGCTAAACTACACTGAAGGCTAACACGTATATATAACTATGGACACCAAACCATCAATACATATATGTTGCCGTATTTACAACAATGCTTTCAGGGGGCCTGACGCAACGCAACGGACCATCGCTGGGATGTATGGAAAGTTAGAGTTTGTGTGTGCGGAACATATAGCACAATGTTCGAATCTTTTATCTTCTGTTAATTTCTGTTTTTAAATACAATGAAATGAGCAAAAAAAATTTTTACAACACTCACGTGAGGGGGGACGGGGAACGGAACGTATGGTGGTTGGTGGCGGGAATAGGGGGAGAGAAGTACGAGAGAGAGGTCAGCCTCTGGTGGCGGAACCGCCGCTAAGTTGAGTATACGCTACGTGATAAAAATAAAAACATGACGTACGACAGTTCGTGTGAAGTTAAAAATAATAATAAATTGTGCTACTTGTTGTAACTTTATTCAAATACCGAGAGACTCAATAGAGCCGCTTCACTTTTATATATTAAAAGAAATAAGGTAACCTAAACACTACGATAACTATACAATTAATTAATTTATTAAGGAGTAATCCGTTATGAAAATGACACGGCCAACGGAACCAGCTAAAAATTATTTACAAATGATAGCGCGGGTATTGCGGATAATACTAGCCCCATCATAATTAAATATATTTACACCGCGCGCGCGCGGCCTCGGGTCACTTTCATGATGGCTTACGGGTTTATACAATCATTTTTACATTTAAACATTAAAAACAAAATGATCAGGGGCTTGGCGCTGTACTGTTTGCGTACGCGTACGTGTAGACGGGGAAGTGGCTTAAGATTTGGTGAACAGGAAGATGGCTACGATGAGACCGTATAGACCTAATACTTCAGCGAAAATGAGGATGAGGATCATTCCTACGAAGAGTCTTGGCTGCTGCGCTGTTCCCCTCACACCTGCGTCGCCCACGATGCCGATGGCGAATCCTGCCGCCAGACCGGAGAAGCCTACTGAAAGGCCGGCACCCAAGTGCACGAAACCCCTGCAAAAACACACAATTTAATAAACGTGACAATAACTTACACATAAAAAAACATTTTGTACTGTATTTTAAAGGTAGGTGTTGAGCTAATTGAAAGAAATCCACAACTTTTTTTTAACCTCATCAAATGAAATCTTTGACACCAAATATTTAGGCATGCAAAAGATATCTAATCCCACAGACAAGATTCCTAGCTGCTAATATTGTGGGAAACAACTACGACGAGCGTTGAATTACACCAGTAATATCTAGTAAATAGCTCGTAATCAATAATTATCCAAAATAAAAACTAAAAATGATGTCTAAATATAAATAATGCATAAACTGTTAAAATTATTAAATCATCGAAAGAAAAATCTTGTATTCTTGATAACAGAACAGCAAGAATAAAAATTATTTCTAAAATTTATTGCTATTTTGTAAATTGCAAATCATTTGAATGGAACCAATATGTTAAATTTAAAGGTACCAATATGTTAAATTTTAAACACTTCAATTTCATAATTGCAAAATTTTTAAAGGGCAACTTAATTGACATATGAGGAAAAGAATCTCTACAGAAAATTATGTATTTAATATATATTTGTAATTTTTACTGTATTGTGGATGTATTAATCTAATTCAAAAAGATCCCAAAAGTTTTTTCTACAAAATCTTATCGAATGAAGTCGAGGGATGTTCTTTGATACCAGAAATCTAGGTATACAAAAAATATCTAACCCCACAGATAAGAGAAGAAGGCCCAACAAGTAAAAAACAGCTACCACAAAGAAATCTTGTTTCCACATTTTACTTACTGGATTGTTTCAGTGATCTTGCGAATAGAATTAATAGTACATATTAGTAGAACAAAATTATATATAAAAAACATAAAACATTTAGAAACAACAGTGTCATGTGTGGAATGTCAATTGTTTTTTTTTACCTAACCTAAAAAGACCTCTGCAGTAGCTTCTTTTCATGTGTTTGGTCTTTGTCAATGGTGTGGAAAAAAATATTAAATATTATTTTGAATCATTACATTATTTAACAATTTCAACACATCAGGTATGTGTTTTTATATTAATTTTATTTAGACATATAATTTTTAGTTTACATTATGGATTTTCTATTACGAGCAGTTTACTAGGCATCGTTGTAGTATAATTCAATCCTAGTTTGGGCATGTAGCCCATATAGTAATTAATTGTTTCCTGCAATATCAGCAATTAGGAGTGTTGTTTGTGGGGTTAGTATCTTTCGCATAACTATATTTGTGGTATCGAAGAACGTTGTGCGAATTTATCATATTAAAAAATATATATGTATTGGATTTTTTGAATTTCCAAATTTTTGACCTAATAAATTGTTTAAAACATTTGTTACAATTCCCTACAGACTAGGAGATAGCGACAGATTTTCGGTTGTAATTTTAACATTATGAAAAAATGAGTTTTCATTTTCAGCCTGTCATGTGTTTTAAATTTAAATTCAAAATACAAAATTCATAAGAAAGCCATGGGCAGACTGTTAGCATGGTCATAAAACTTGTGATTGAATCAAGAATTTCTCCATTTTTCCAAACAGGCTGCCAATGAAAAGTATAAAAATGTTCGTTATAAATTGCTAAAAAATATATGGTACTACATTATAGACCACTGTTTATACACATTTGTAGAAATGTGGTACATCAAACTTCAGTTTGAACTGCAAAACAGTAAGACCTCGAGTAAAACATTATATTTCAATAGATTTTTCACCGATTAATTCCAAGTAATGTTATTCCATAATTTTACACGATTTTTGATAATTAAAGTGGTCACATTTCGGTACTAAAGCAAGTCACTCAACCTTCATTGTATCTATTAAATATAAAAGAATACATATATGATATTTCCAAATGTTTTCAAGATCTCGAGAAAGGCTAGTCCAATTAAAAAGGAGCCTTTAAATCGCAATTTTGGTCAACTTGCCTGAATTTTTAATATAAAATAGTTTGAGGTATATAATAACAATAAGTGACAGCACCTTTTTTTTCAACCCCCGGCCAGGGGTGAAAAAAGATAAAATAAAGGGGTTTTTGAAGATAACTCAAATGGGGTAAGAGCTAGAAAAAAAAGTTATAAAAGATGTAAAGCATAAAATTCCACATAAAATTGGGTCTATTGACTTTTTCTTGTACTATTAAAATTAACAGAGTTAGGGGGACTAGAAGTTAAGGGACGATTTCAGAAATCTAAAAAATTATAACGCAGAAAAATGAATGAATTTCATATATTTTTTTTCAATCTACTTTAAAAAATATCAACTATCTTTTCAGAGAAATAGATATATTTTAAAATTTTTAATAAAAAAGTTATAAAAATTTCACAAAGCGAATGTAATTTTTATCTTTGTCGTAAAACAAAATTTCGAAAGCAACTTTTCATCTTTTAAATAATCAATCGAATGGTATAAAAAAATAGTTTTACTGTTAAATCATAGAAATTAACGATTAAAAATTGAAATTGTTATAACTTAATTAAAAATTAAAAAATATATCTATTTCTCTGAAGAGAAAGTTTACATTTTTTAGAGTAGATTGGAAAAAAATATATAAAATTCATAGATTTTTTTAAATTTCTGAAACCATCCCTTAACTTCTAGCCACCCAAACTCTATTAATTTTAATAGTACAAGAAAAAGTCAATAGACCATTTTTAAGTAGAATTTTATGCTCTACAACTTTTATAAGAAACTATTTATTTTATCTTTTTCCACCCCTGGGTGGGGGTTGAAAAAAAATTTACTGTCACTTATTGTTATTATATTCCTCAAACTAACGTAGGTATATAAAAAAATCAGGCAAGTTGACCAAATTGCGATGTAAAGGCCCATTTAATTGGACCTTTATTTCAATATTTTATTTCACATAGCTCGTTCAATATTTTTTTTTCTCTCAAAAGGTAAAAGTATGTGCAAAATTTAAATTGAATATCTCTTAAAAAACAACGCAGTTACTGATAACAACTTTCTTTTTTAAATGCAATTTTGACGGCCTGTATCTTAAAAAAGAAGTATGCGCGTAAATGAAAAATGACATAAATGGAGACCAATTATATTCACAAAAAAAGTTTGTGTTCAACGGATTGACCTACTTTTTTTTAACACCCATTTTATATTGTAATAAACTTTAAAAATAAAACTTAATCACTATGAGTGCAAACCAGAAACCTTAATACGACTTCCTTATAACACATTAATACAAATACATACTAAAACATTGATTAACAGTATATGGGAAATTGTTAATAAATATCACGATAGAATATCAATAGTCATTTTTGATACTTTATTTCTAATACGGATTTTTCTTGAGAGATATTCCCGGTTTGGTTCCGACTAAGTACTGCCTGATATCTTTATTATTGTGCAGTTAGTTTTATAATAATTAAAACATGTAATTAGGTTTCTATAACCTGTTTGTTTCTTTCTTATAAAATAAAATAAAAAAATAACCAACACGTATATGTAACTTAATCTTTAAATATTTAAAATAGAACCTACATTACAGAAGCTGCCACCAGAAGATGACTATATTTTTAATCTTTTACATACCTATAACTAAATAAGATTACGTTTCTTAAGTATTGTTATTACGTTACCAATTCCTATTTCGGGAAAACTAGTGTTACCTTGAATTTAACTACTAATCTCTCCAAAGCACAAAAATATCAGAAACGATTATGTACGGATTATTGAAAAATGTTAGGGACTTAATGCAGATTTTTTTTATATCTGATAAACAACAATCTGACACCTTCATCAGTGTAACGTTTTAAACTGGAAATGTCTGATTTAACTATCAACTTATTGACAAAACTCAATGGATTAACAAGAACGGACGTCACTATACCGGAATGCTGTTTCTTGGAAGAAAAACTATTCGGATTTCAGTTTGTTTTTCACCAATAAGTTGCCTTGAAACAGGATTATTTTTTTAAATGAATAAAGTGGTGTTAAAAGATGCATTCTATTTTGTGAGTAATTAAGTACCACGTAAGTTTTCTGAATAAAACAAAATCCATTTTAACATTAAGTAATTAAGTTTCTACGGGTGCCACAGTAACGATTAATTTTACAAAAATACAACACATTATGAACATCTGGATATTCAACACATTTTCCTATTTTATTAGAAAAAAACCTTTTCAGTTATTGCTATATTAAAATTGGGACGCTCGTATTTGTTTGATTAATGATGCATGAATTTATTGATTTTGTCACATGTACATATTAGGTCCCATTCGTCACTATTGTAACACTCTATTGGCAATAAATACTCAAAGCCTTTTTAATCTCAACTGATGAGTTATTAAAATATAGTTATGCACACTGATAATGATAATCTACATATATGCTAAATTAAGACAGACTCAAACGTATTACGGATCAACTTTTTTCAATAAAAAAGGTTCAGATTCATTATCGTTTGACGTTTCCCTTTTTAATTATATTGAATGTCCCAAAATTCACGCAAGATTAGAATTTTGCTCCATATGTGCGGTAAAGTGTTGCCAACGAAAAAAAAAGACAGCGTAACAGCTGATAGTTCAGAGTTAATAAAAATTGAGCGCTACACAAAAGAACGAGTTTCGCTGAAACAAGGGTAGAAACATATCTGATGATGCGATCTATAACCGATGGCAACGATGCGTAAAACAATTTACGTGTTTCGTGTTTCACAATAATACAATGACATAAATCGTATAATCATTGTACACTTTATTTTATGTTGATGATCCGTACGCCTTTGGTGCGCAGCCAATTATGACAGCTCTATTTATACGGGTACTAATCTACTTTTTATTTTATTTTAATAAAACATATTTGTCCGCAAGAAAAACAATGTTTGAATAAAATGGTTACTCCTTACAACTAACTTATACCTCGAAAAAAGATAAGTTTGACCTGAAAAATGGAAATGCGTTTTATCGTTAAAATGGACTATAACTTAAGGTAACGGTGGGTACTAATGGATACGTGGAGCATTTAACAATCTGATTTCTGATCAAAAGCAGTTCGTATATTTCACAAATTTATTCTAAACGTTGCGGCAGATATTACCAATTTCCTCGTGATTTATCTACTAACATAATTATCAGCGGAGTAAAAATAATTCTTGTATAAACAATGGCTATGACGCGGGCACGTATGTACATGGATTTCGATAGGGAAATGCTTACAGGGTGATGCAATCCAAAGGCACCCAACTCTGTCGCAAATTATTTTTTTAAAGCGTAATTTTGAAATTTTAATACAGACAGGACAGCCTTTATACATACAACCTTTTTATCCTGTAGAATTAATGAGATTAGTTATTCCTGTACGTTTCCAAATGGAGTTCCGAATGCTCGTAGAAGTTTTAATGGAATTTCGTTTGCAATCGCGTAACTTCATTTTATTGAGAGGTGGTTTTCGTCCCTTGCTCGTCTGAATCATTTTATTATTTGGATTCAACAGAAATTAAAGAGGAAGCAAAATTTCGTTAGTGAGTAAGTGTAACTTAGTAAAAATGTTATACAACCATAAAATATTCTTTAATTTATTATAAAATCGCCGCCAGACGTCGCTCTCATCTAAATTATTGATATTTTGTCTAATGCGTCTGTGCAAAATAGAAATGTGAACGAATCCCTACGAATGTGACTTTATATTTATACAATAGATGTCACCTCATTTGACAGCGCCAACGATTGACAGCCTAACCTCCAAACGACCCTTTTGTATTTTTCATTTAAAGACAGTTCGTTTCATTTTTGTTTTATTAACAGCCGCGTTTCATTTACATGAGAACGCAACTAATCTTCGCATTCGTCATTTGTTCCAATTTTCAATAAGTTAAATTAAATACACCTCTCATATTTATGCCCCTTAAACCCTTTACAACGCTTTATCATCAGTGACTCACTTACACATTTCTTCTTCAAATAAAACGTCTTAATTTACTGCTACATAAATACTAATAATACAAAACGGCAGAACGGCGCCTTAAATTACGTTTTCGTTGCTAAACAAACGCGCCAGAAGTGCGTAATATTGACGGGGCATAAAAGCATTTCAACGTTACTGGACCTTATCAGTCGAGTTGGGGATTAAACAATATATCCGTCTATATTGAACGCGAATTGTAAAAATGTGTTTATTAATAGATCGCGGTTTATCTGGTTAAACCAATTAACAAATAAATGTGTAAGCTGCGGGGCGTATACAGTACAGACGTGACGCTATGAACTGTGAAAAAATTTCTGGGAACACGAGTTGGACCGACAGCTGGTCAATTACAGTGAATAGATTTAAAAAATATATATATAAATAAAATTAATAAATATGTAACACCAAAATTTTTTTATATAAAACAAATTACTCTGATTCAGGATGACGCATTTTTTATCTGTAATAATCATTTGAAAATAAGATTCTATATCATGTGAAACATTTCAAAATTTTTATTACTTCAGATAAGGGAGATAAATCAAAACAAATACGTTATTTACGTAAAGAAAAATGCAACTTGAGTGTGCCCCTTCAAGGTAAAGTGTTTGTGACTCATTTTCTCAGACACACTACAATACAGGGTGTTTCACATTTGAAAAGTATACATTTGGTACTACGTATAATGTTTGCGTGCTTTTTTATTTTAGAAAAACCTTTAATTTCTACTACATTCTTTAGTTGCATATATATTTTTTTAATATGCAAATATTCTTATGCGGATCATGTACAGGACAGTCAAATTCTATCGATGGGGGTCTCAGGATATCTTACGAACTACCAAAGGTGTAAGAAAACTGACGACACGTTCCCGAGCTTGATTTTCAAAACCAATTCAATTGTCACATTAGACATTTGATATCTCGTTTTCGAGTTCTTTAATTTTATTTAACACATTCGACTACCTCTGCCTGAATATCTCAATAAGTCAACATTGCTGTCAATGCAAAGTAGAATATTCTTTATGACTATAAAGTAAAATAGATTGAGATACTTGCTTGTAGATATTGAATAAAGTCGACTTTAAAATACTTAAAATTATATATTTCCATTTCTCAATTATTATTTTTTACCAATATACATAAATGCCAAAAGTTGCAACAGAAACTTGGCAACAGCGCACGAGTATGCTGACTTTTAATTCCTAAGTTGACTACAGTTAGTAATTAGTCATTCATTACTAACTACAATCACTAACAAGCACTAAAATTTTGATATAAAGTTAATTAATTAGTGTTAAAAATATTACTAAGAATGTATGCGTTGTTTATCCATCAATAAGTTTTGACATAAGCCTACTTTGAGAAAAGGCACTTATTTTATAAACCGTAATATTGTAAGCTATTAAAAGCTTTTTTCTCGAAAACCGTCCACACTAGGAAGTTTTAACAAGAGTACATTATTTTTAGAAAATAAAATTGTACATTAGAAATTGGACCCCCGAATGGTTAAAACGTTAAAAAATTAGAACTTAAAATGCAATAGGAATGTAGCATAACTAGCTCCCTCTATGAAATATACGAAAAATAATTAGACCAGCGTATTCGGCATCCTTAAAAACTCCGGAATACCAAATTTCATAAAAATATTTCGCACCGTTTGGAAACTTTCGTAAAAATTCTATTTAAAAAATTTTTTTTGTCGCTCTGTATCTCGAAAACAAGAGGAGATAGACATGTAGTTCATACTATCACCCCCTGTATTTACGGGAGGTCTTTCTGAAACACCCAGTATAATTCTGTTCCACTAATATTTATTAATTCCATTTATAAGAAGGCCAATTAAAAAAGCAATCCTCAAAGGCTTAACATGCAAATCTACCTATCTATCATGTCTGTATTTGCTTATTGGTCTTTGTCAAAGGTCATATTAAAACAACAAAAATAAAAGACATTTCTTTAACAATTGCAATATTTAATGGTAGCAAGTCAGGTGTGTTAAATGTTAATAAATTTCAAATTATTAACATTTAGATCTCATTTTTAATTTTTATTTCGATAATTATTAAATTAGCCATTTACTAGATATTGCTGGTATAATTCAACGCTAGTCGGGCTACCCAGCCCGCAGAATAGTTGTTTCCTGCAATATCATCAGTTAAGAATCTTGTGTTACAAAAATTCAATTCGACTTCATTGTATAGTTGGACGTTTTTTTTCAAAGTATTTGAATTAATATCTTTGAAACAAAGTAAAAGTGCAAGAATTAATAAAATATATTTTATAAAAAACACTTTTCTTGTTTCTGTTTTTTCGGGGCTTCTATAGTGACGGTATTCGTAACACAGCCAACTATTTCTATCAAATTAAAAAAAATCTTTTCAATGTAGGTATACATTTGTGCTTCTCATATTTGTTAAAATAACCTTAAAATAATTACATTGAAATGAAAAAACAAAAAAAACTTCACTCCAAACTATGGCCCCATATGACCTGGCTACTATGACTAAACTATTTACAGTTCCCATTTTAAGAAAATATAAATTTGCTTTATAGTTCCACAGTCATCAAACATTAAAAAATATATCTCACCAGCCGATTCTTAACCAGAAAGAAATAAAGATATCAAATATTTCGTCTAAAAATCGATCTCGAGAACGCTCAACAGTTTGTGAAACCTCATGAAATTTGACTCACCCTGTACATACGTGATTTTCCGAACAGCGCTTCTATTATGTCGCATATTTTTAGTTTTATAGTTTTTAGATATAATCATAAAATGTATTTAAGAATGAAAAGGCTATTTTCGTAACCGAATCAAGGACTTTCGATTTAAATCGTACCGGAACATAGCCGATATTTAACTTATGGAATACTACCAAAACTACGTTATTATTAGACCAATAACAATGAGGTGAATGGATATCGGAGCACGCGAACTTTTCATTCATCTTATACAGAAAACTCGTTACTTAAATGCATGAAGTGCAAGACGAGTGAAGTTAGAAACGGATTTGAAAAAATATACATCGTTAGAAGTCGGCCACGGACAACTAGACTATGTTTTTTTATAACAAACGAATGTTACAGTTGCCAACAGGTTAGTGGTTACTGTGTTATAAAAAAATAGAATGTTAACTGTTAAACTTGAATCCGTTCTAATTTCATGCCCTCTAAATTGCCTTCACACGATACTCAACGAACTACTGCGACATACTGAAATTATTTCTAGAATGCCTCAAGGCACCGATCGCGACCCTCTTTAATTGTTGTCACTTACAAACGACGGTCGCACAAATTTCATTGTCTGGATCACGGTCGCCCAAGCGACCAACTTGATTCTCAATGAACCACTACTACCTATTGAAATTATTTCGAGAATGCCTCAAGGGACCGATCGCGGCCCTCTTTAGTTGTTGGCACTTATAAACAACCGACGTACAAAGTGGACAACTTACTTGAAAAGTGAATAGGTGGAGCTATCGGCAATGACACCGGCGATAAGTACCGCAATGACCAGACCATAGATGGCGATGATACCAGCCATGACAACGGGAATGATGGATTTCATTATAAGTTCCGGCCTCATCACCGACATGGCGGCGATACCTGTGCCTGATTTCGCTGTTCCATAGGCGGCGCCCAGCGCTGAAACAAAAACATCATAAATAAATAAGCAATACAGAAAAAACCAAACAATATGAGAAGAACACAAACCTTATATTTATCACTGTTTATCAGTTTTGAATATTGGTAATATCGTTACCACTTATAAGGCCTCAGTCTTAGGTACTATTTAGTGACTGATACAAGACTAATTATATTATAAAACGCGATTTTAAATTATGTTAAAGGAAATAGGAGCAAAAATACTTATTTTTTTTGGTTATAAATGATAAATGTGTAAAAAGTATGGCGGCCTGCAATTCCACATGCTGACATCATTCGCCGCGAGTTACTTTTGTTAAGTGAGTGTTCGGTAAACAAACAATATTCAATAATGATAAATGAAATACACAAAAATAGTTTGTAGATGGTTTTCAGTTATGAAAAACATTGAAATTCACAGTTAGATGCACTGTCTTCAAATGTGGAACAACTAACGCCCTTCGCTTCGTCACCGTTTACCGGCACTATCTCCCTTCACATGCATTGTAGGTTGCCTACAATTCATGTATTTGTAATACATGATTACAGTGGCAGCGTACACAAGTATTAAAGTGCATTTTACAAAACTAATTATAATTCGACTATTTATTTGATAAAAAAAATAATTTCAGATTCATATTCAGGGGAACACGTACCCCTAAAAAACTAACCCCGCTTAAAATTACACCCTGTATACAGAATGTAACTTTGAATGCGGGTCATATTTATAGGGTTATCTTTGACCTTTAGTTTTGTAACTATTCCACCGTGAAACCTGTTTCTTTGTACCATTTTTGTAAATTTCATGCCCGTCGTCCGACAGGCTAATGTAACCTGAAACAATCGCGTGCGATAACAGCAAGCGTAGGACATTGATCTCATCCTTCTGATTCGTATAAGTACATGTTTTTTCATATCATACATAAATTTAACACACACAAATATTGTTATTGTTATTAAAATTATAATAAATAATTTTATAAGGTTATACACTTAGACTACACAAAGGCGCTTCACTAAATATTACTTTAAATTTTACTATAAAATCAAACTTTATTGAAAACAACATGAATTACTACACAAATTCTATTTTAATTCCAGTAAAAACACACTTCACGCAGAAAGAGGTGAGATTCGGCGAATTATCGCATCGTTCTACAACCCTATCGACATATATCAGGTGAAACGTCAACTTGCATATTCCAATTGTGTAAATAATGATCAAGCACGTGCTGCTGCGGAACTACTGGTCGACTGATTTCACATAGCGTAATTTGCAATATTATTCCCAGCTTAAATTTGTTGCTGTTCTATATTAATTTACACCAAACTAAATTAAACGGCACTGACACAATAATTAAAATCTATCAGATTACTAAGTATTTTTAAGTATTTTTTATTATGCACTTTTTATAAAACAGCAAAAATAATTATTTTAAAACAAATTAGTTTTACTTACAATTAGTATCGTATGCCTATGCACATACCAATACTAGATTTAATGAGTCATGCAAGTATTAATTTAAAAAACACTAGAAAATGTTTTGTCCGTATCTGACATAAAACAATACGATGACTTGTCGCAAAGTCATACAAAAGCAGTATCAAAAAGAACTGGCGACACTGATACAACTCCGGTCCGAGAGCAGTCCAGTGGCGGCGTAGACAAGGGCTTAAGTGCAGTTTAGAAAATAAATTTATAACTAGACCGAATGTTTGATTAAAGTATCTTATTAGAATTCTGGAGAATACATGTTATTTATTTCTCCTAAAAAAATAATCCCCAGTTTTTACATCGTGGTAATATCGCTACAGAAAAAAAGTTTGAAGGTAAAAATTTCACATCTAATGAATTATATTTTTGGCCACCAAAAACAGATAAAAAATTTTGTATTACAATAATTTGTGGAATTTTTGACTATAGATATATTTTTCAACTGGGAAGAAATTAAGTTCAAGTAAAAAAAATATTTAAAAAAAGTACTAATCCCATGTTAGATATTCATAATATATATTTTTTTCTGTTCATTACTGTTTAGCCTGTACCTTGTAATCCCAACCCAAATGGGTCACAAATATATACAATTCACAGCTAAACCATTTTATTCGCCATCGTCCATCTATTCTTTTTTTAATTTAAAAACGTAATTTGGAACGGTATTATTTTCTACCATTTATTTACTTTTGCATATTATAGTATAAATTTCTAAGCCTACATAACCATTTAACAAATTCAATCGGTATAACTTCCGCCGAGCTTAGGCAACCCACCTCGGCAAGTTATGAACGAATATTTATTAACTATATTTTATTTTTGCTTTGTTATAGTCTTTCCGATCTCAATCGAGGAACCAAGAGGTTGGTAGTATGTACCAGGTTTGGTCGCTGACGCAGCAACTCGGCATTGAAAAATTTGACAAATGGCCTATCAGTGCAGTGCAGCAATGCGGAATTTTTTTTGCGATTCAGGTAATTTTAATTTATTATAGGCATCTTCTAGCATCATTCATATTACAATTGCGAAGGGGGATATTTTGTTTACTAATATTATTACAACATGGCATTTTGGAGACCATTTGAAACGGAACAAAACGAAATTTACCATCAAAATAATAAAATTGTTTGGGGAGATAAATAATTGAAATATGTTGTTGGTCAAATGAACATATAATAGAAATTTTCTGCACATATATTGTTAGGGACGCCTATGAAACTCATTAAATTTTATTGATAGGCGTTTTTATACATGAAAAGACCCTACCTTTGTCTGACTTTTGTTCAATGCTGTGATAAATCTTCGTACTTTTTTGCCCTGTTTTAAATATTGAATAAAAACAGGTCTGTTGTATATTGTTTTAATAGAAAATAGACAACCAGGAATACGGCCGATTAGCGTTCTTAATAAACAGATACTTTATAATTGAGATGATAATGCTCGTATTGCACGTATCTATTTTAATAGTTCGATACGACATAGGTCAGTTTCCACCAAGGGGTTAAATAACGATCGATCTGTGGATTCTGCCGGAGCGCCAAACCGAAATTTCAATCTCCAAACCGGCTAAAAAGACCCGTGCACGCGTCAAGCACGATACCTGAAAATAAAAATCGGCCGAACTCTCAGGCTAGACATGTTTGATAGACATTTGGCCGGACGCCAGAGGCGCGAAATTAACGGCTGATCCTTTCCTAAACATTCGGATACGCTCGATTGTTGTTATCGTAATTGTTATCCTAGCTGGGACCCGTTGCTGAGGTGGCCCGTTTCGTCCTTTCCGCGTTCTTCCGGTCGTCGGTCGCGTCGTTGTGTAAGGGTACTAGCTAGAAGTACGCCGTAAAAGCAGTATAAATAAATCTGTTAGCTGGTATTTTTAGCAGCATTATTGTAATGCGTTATCTGCATCGGCGGGACGGCTAACGTGAACACTGAATCACGCTGACAAACAGCTACATAAACAATAATAATAATATTGTTCTCCATTCTCAGTACAGGGTTAGGTTAGTTAAAAGTAGTGCGGCAGGGGGGCAACATATTATGACTCTATTGTATTGTATGTAGTAAAAACTTAAAAGAGTGCAGATACTGCATCCGTAGAATATCTTGACAACAAGGAGCACCTTGGAGCTCTTCTCTGCAACACTTGTTTATTTTTAAAGTATTGTAATAATAGGAATCGATATATATTTTATTATGAAATGAAAACTATCGTGGTTGATTTGAATCAAACATCAGCTGTTCACACGGATTGCGCCAGCCAAGTGTTTATTTGCCCTTGAGATAATGTAATTTATGAGCACCAAAATGTACCCCGGGCGATGCCGAAACCGAGAGAGGGTGTTCTTTGTGATAGTGGAGTGGTGCCAGGCCAGTGCCCGAATAAGGTTGATTATTATGTGTGCTTCGGGGGAGCCTCGACTCATTTCAGGTAGTTGTCGAAGAAAGAATTATACATATTTGCTAATTAATATAATGGAAACGTATGGAAGGATATATCTTGAATCCTAAAGTTAGGGGAAGTATAACCCCCCGGTATTTATTTGTTTTTCTTGACAGAACAGTAACTCTGATATTTGTTTAATATATTCTCTAAATTTCTGGCGAATGACCCGGCTATTGTCGAGATAAACTGCAACAGTTTATTTTATATTTCTTCGATGTTACTAGGACTTCCGACTAGTTGAACTGGAAATATGAAGTCAAACTATACGCCATAAGCTCTTGTAGAAGTTTACTTCCTTGGATGATACCGTGTCTTGAGGCGTCGTAACTTTGCTGTAAGAGTGATTCAGACAGCTCCACACAGCGAGAAATTAATTTATGGGTCACTCAAGGTTCCATACTAGGGCCCCTAAAACTTTTAATCTATAAACGATTTGGCATCTTGCATTATGAAAAAGCATGTAAACAAATAAAAAATCTGATATTTGACAACAACGCATGCTGGAGTCCATCCAGCGGCGGGGTATGAAAATTACGAAAAAAAAAAAAAACAACTTTTACAACGGAAGTTGAGAAAACAAACTTACGCCTCCATATAAATAAGGCCCCCATTCAAAGTTAGTATATTATACTACAGAACTGCATATTTAAACATCACTACAGGAATATTGTGAACTGTTATAAGGTGGATCAAATTATAGAAAAGGTGTAAAATATTTTGTTGAAAATTTTTCTGGGGCTTTATCGAAGTATTTCAACAAAATTTTGTATTATAGGACCAGTCATGGGGTTTATTTTATAAATTAATTTTTTTAATTTCTGAAATATGATGAAAATACTGGAAAACCGAGTTTTTATAATTATTTACAAGCTTTTATTTAACTTGTCTTGTTAGTATGGGTCAAATCTTGCAACTGAATTTTAAAACAGTTATCCCCAACCAATTGAGCTGAAATTTTGCACACACGTTTAGTTTAGATGACAATGCATGGTTAGCTATAGTAGGATCATATTGGATGCAAAGTAATAAATAATTGCCTGTCAAGGGATCCAGTGCAGT